GTAAATTCATGCTTTACGTTAACTAAAGAAAGAAAAAATCGTTCATTGGCAGCTTGAATGCAAAAGCGAAAGGAGTCGGGATTTGAGGTTGTTATCGAAGGAAGATATGGAAGATTTGTGGCTAAAAAAGCAAGAAGCCATTGCCAAAAGAGTGCGGATGAAACAATATTCATTTTCTCATCGGGTAATTTGGGCACTTTATTCTGTAACGTCCCTCAAACTTTTGTTTGAACTTTAGTGCTGATATATAACAACCAAGAATTTATTTCATTTTTCTTCTTGACAACACAATTAGGATAATTTTCTACTTATCAAATCTCATTAGAGTTCTTTTCCTCATTTTTCAGGAGAGAGGACAAGACCCGACTCTGCAAGAATTATTAGCCCACGGAAAAAGCAGAAGGCAGTCAAGCCAAAAGGAAGAAACAGAGAAATGGAAGAATTTACCTGATTTATACACTTCTGCAGGTGATTCGAATCGGCTGACATTACTAAAGCTGAAAACTGCACATAAACAAGAATTGATGGATGAATTAAATTCACCATTTTCACTACCAAGGAGATCGTTTTGTCACATAAAACAGAGATCAATTGGAGACGAAGGCTCCTTACCAAACTCTCCAGTTTTCCCAACTTACATGGCTGCCACGGAATCTGCTAAAGCCAAATCAAGATCAATAAGCATGCCAAAGCAACGGCTAAGATTATGCGATACACACTCTGGTCAACATTCTCCATACAAGCTCAGGCTTTCTTCATGGAGCTCCTTTAATGGCGAAACGAAGAACATTAACCAAAAGTGCAGTATTTCTCAGTAGTACCTTGCCAAAACAGATAGCCATTGTTAAAATTGTTTCCGACTCCGCTCGTGTTACCTCATGTACATGTGTGCATATACAGAAAATCATCCACAATTTTATGTTTTTGTGTGTAAGCTCCAGAAGGTGTTGTGTGTTCATTTGGGAGATTCTCTTCCCTTGTATCTTGGAAGAAATTTTGTTCGATCATACTTCTTACTGATGTCAGTTCATCTCTTTCTGTCTTTACCATCCCTGTGTTACTTTGTTATCCC